TAGCTTTGAGTTGGAAATGAAATGAAAAATACTCACGCATTTACCTCCAGATCTGTGCTCGTTTGGATTATCCTAATATGTAGTTAAATAGATGCTAGTTGATGTGTATTTATCTAGTATTAGTTTATTTGGTTTGTATTAACATAAAAATGGACTATGGACTGATGCATTTTCATTTACTCGTTTCATTGGATTAATGTTCGTTTTGATAGCTATAGACAGCTTATTACTTAGGGTACTAAACAACAGTATCGGTTAAGATTTGAAGGTCATCGGAGTTGAACCTCCATCAGATTATACAATTAAACTGTTTTTTCAGTAGATGTATTTGGCATTTACATTCAAAATTAATTTGCTAAGTTCAGGCAAATGTTTCCAGTTTTGGCCTTTGGTGATAAATGAAGTTTAAGCTATTATTAACATTCAGAAATTCGACAGTAGGTAGATAGATAAAGGAAGCTGATTTTAAAAATAAAAAAAATCAAATCAAATATCAGTGTTTCAATATAGAGTTTGCTAATATTCAAATAAATGTGTTTGGATTTGAGACTGGCAGGCACGTGCAAATCATTAAGTCCAGCTGTTAAGTTTGGGCCTGGAATTATAGGTACAGGGCCCAACGTGAGGCTGACAGAGTTTGGTTTCCTCCTGGACTAAGTTTGAAGCCCCAAAAATTGCTAAGGGCTTAGATTCACTGATTTTTTTTGAAATAATTTGTAACATGAGTTTTGGGCCTTCTAGTTAAGTAGCATACTTGAATTAAGAGGTTTTTTCCTCTTGTTCAAGTGTGGACTTGAACTTGAGGCCCAAATTCCTTGTATACTTTTAATAACAGCAATTAATAATGTTAATTAATTAGGACCCTTTTAGAGACAGTCCATACTAGAAAACAATAGTCCCTTTTAGGATGGCCTTTAAAAAATAAAATGAGGTGCGCCACGCCAAATAAAATTCATAAATTGCGTGGCCCTCTTTAAATGTCTATGTTAAAATACGTAGAATTTGGGACGTGCCATTTAGCGAATTTTCATGGCCTCCCGCAAAGTTAATAATACAATAATACGTTAGTCGCTTTAGGCGCGTTTTTAATAATTTTACCTTCCTAAATACAGGTGTGCATTTCATGCGATCCAAATCCAAATCCCAAAACGTTGAATAAAATGTGTCGAGGATCCGGGTGCATATAATGTGACGTGATCCGCAAACATATTTTAAACGACGTTCACTTTCTTAAATTTTTTTATTAAAAGCGGTGAATAACTCTAAAATTGCACAATAGGATAACATGTATTAAAATCAGACTTTAGCCAAATATAGCAGTTGAGCGACCGTGCTAAAACCACGGAACTCGGGAGTGCCTAGCCCTTCTCCCGGGTTAACAGAACTCCTTACCTGGATTTCTGGTTCGCGACTGTTAAACAGAGTCAAACCCTTCTTCGATTCGGGATTCAAACCGGTGACTTGGGAAACCATAAATCTCCCAAGTGGCGACTCTGAATCTCTTAATAAACGAATCCCGTTTCGATTGTCCTTTAATTGGAAAAAACTCCTTTTATTATACCCTTCACGGGGTGTAGTAGCGAAAAAGGAGGTGTGACAGCTCCGGCGACTCTGCTGGGGATAACGAACCTAGAACTTCGGTTCAGGGTTCAAGAATTCGAGCTTAGAATAGCTGTTATGATTGGCTTTATCTGTTATCTGATTCTCTTACATGTTTGAACCTAATGTGCTAAATGCTTTACCGCTTTGATATTTTGTGAATTGTATATATACACTGCTACGAATCCCTTCCTCTCTCTGAGTCTTCTACATCATTGAGAAGGGTGCACTTCGTGTAGCTTCTCTTCTGTTTAGAGTCTTTTCCCATTTAGAACGAGGTTTGGATAAGTTGCTAAGCCGGCGGAGCTTCTGTATCCCCGGTACGCTGCCTCCCCCTCGGCCCGAGTTGTCCGCTCGGGTAAGCCAGGTCTAGACCAATAAACCTAGGGTTTAAACCTAGAAGAACAAAACCTCATGCCGGATCCCTAGTAGGAACGTTTGTTTGCATCATGTGCATTTGACTTAGGGGACTCAACACAGGGGTTGGGTCCGTCTAAGACAGGTGACCTGAAATGAAAAAATCATCCTGATGCATCTTACGTGCTACTTGTGCATTCATTTGCTTTGGATTTGCATGTTGACCGGCTTGTATATAATGAGAGAAAATTGAGAAAAATAGCAGTGTTAGGGCCAAGTGAGGGTAACCACTAGTTTTGAAAAACCAATGCCCAAATAGTACCGAAATGCTGCCGGATTTTTGAACAATGAAAAGGAAAATATTTGGAAAAAAAAAGAGATTGTTCAAAAAATATATTTGGTTTTGACAAATTAGCCCGAACTATGCTGGTTTGATTCTCACCGGATGTGAGATACGTAGGCAACCCTCATCGGGTCCAACCACCCTTTTGCAAAAATAGCCAAAAATACCGAAACTTTAATTTTGTGAAAATAAGTCGGGTGACGCCATTCTTGTTGAAAATAAGCCGAATGTCCCCAAAAGGACGCCGGAAGGCTGTTTTTGCAAGAACGGCCACCTTTGGTCATTTTTAAACTTTTTGGCCGGTTAGCGAACACAGCCTTAAAATCTTCTTCCTCGAGGTGCTGAAAGGCCGTATTGGCAAAGCCGGATATTTTTATGACAATTTTGAAAAAATAGTGATAACCTTTTGAGTCAAAACGAGTCTTGATTTTCCTCCTGTTAGTTTCTTTTTGAGCCTGTTGGTTTTTATGGTAAAAATTCAGTAGGATGAGTCGTTGTAATCAAAATATTTTATTTTTATTTGAAAATCCCAAAATGTTTTATTATTATCAGCATGAACTACGCTTAGTCTGATTCATACGGGGTCATGATACGTAGGCAATCTCCATAGGATTCGACCATAACCAAAAACAAAAAAAGGCAAACAAGAGAAAATAAAAAGGGAGCAAGAGAAAAGGAAAGAAAAGAAGCGGAAAAACAATTTGAGGAAAGGAGAGAATAGGAACAAGAAAAAAGCGAGGCGAGAGGAAAAGAAGGAAAAAGGAAAAAAAGGGGAAAAATAAGAGAGAAAAGCAAAGGAAAAGAGGGAAAGGCAAGAAACAAATAATGGAAAAACAAGAGGGAAGAATGAGAGAAAAGGCATGGCAAATACAGAAAGAGGGCAGCCGGGATGACGCATGCAACCGAGCAAAGGCATAATAGAAATGGTTAACTGCTTAGGTGCATTCCTTCCCCAAATATGCGGCTACCTATTCTCTAACCGCTGACAAAGTTGTTGTTGATGATGAGTCCAGGCAGGTGGTTAGTTGATCGGCATTCTGGCAACCCACTCCTACAATACCCGGTCTAAGAACAAGTCAAACATGGTCACTCAGAAAATAGAGGCAAGCATCGTTGACCCGTCGAGAGAGGAGGAAGAAGTGGATGTTAACACAATGAAAGAGGTGATGTATAAGTTGAAGCAACAAATGGCCGAAATGTATCAGGCCTGCTCAAAGGGACATCCACCACCGGCTTACCCTGCTAACCCTACTTACGTCCCACCGTTGGCTCAGCCTCAGGAGCCCCCTACTGTGAACTCATCTCCAGTTTTTCCTACTTATCAATAGTGCTATGGAACCACCTCTCAAACGCCACCACCTCTACCACCCAAACAAATCCCGTACCCACCTCCGCCAGTTGCTCCTGTGTTTGTGGCACCCCCACCCGCGGCATTACACCGATCATCTAGTGAACCACTGTTTCAGACTCATGACAGCAATTACTACCCTCCAGAGCCCACCTTTAAAGCTCCTGAACCATTTTCCTACACCCCTCACTTTGAGCTCCCGGCGGAAATTGAAAAGCCGCTTAAGAGCCCGGAGCAGGAAGAGATGTTTCGAAAAGTAAAAAGCCTGGAGCAATCCTTCAGGAACATGTAGGGACTGGGTGGCCAAGTTAGTGTGGCTTATAAGGATTTATGTCTGTTCCCAGATGTTCAGCTACCAGCAGGGTTCAAGATGCCCAAGTTCGATTTGTATGACGGACATGGTGATCCGGTAGCACATTTGAGAGGGTTTTGCAGTAAGATGAGAGGGGCGGGTGGAAAAGATGAGTTACTGATGGCGTACTTCAGCCAGAGTTTGAGTGGGTCTGCATTAGAATGGTATACACGACAGGACCACGGCAGGTGGTACACTTGGGACGACCTGGCGCAAGCATTCGCTTGTCACTTTCAGTACAATCTTGAAATCATTCCAGACCGTCTGTCACTGATAAAGCTCGAGAAAAAGCCCGGGGAAAGCTTCAGAGAATACGGGTTCCGTTGGAGGGAGCAGGCCGCGAGGGTTGACCCTCCAATGAAAGAGAGTGAGATGGTTGATTACTTTCTGCAGGCTGTAGACCCGACTTATTTTGGTCACTTGGTAACAGCGATTGACAAGTCTTTTAATGAGGTTGTAAATATGGGAGGCATGGTCGATGAGGGACTTAAGTCCAACAAAATCATGAGTTATTCAGCGATCAAAGCAACTACCCAGGCTATCCAAAGTGGCACTGGAGGTGTGCTTGGGAAAAAGAAGAAAGAAGATGTAGCGACAGTTGAGTCCGGAGCCTGGTTCGGATCTAGAGGCCCGTCACCCTACTATAACCAACCCCGACCCCACCACCAAAATTACCCACACACTCCATATGGCCCTCCACAACACTATTACCCACCGCCAGATCCTCATTTCTCCGTCCATCACGCAAAAACTTACACCCAAACTCCAGCTCATGCACAATGGCGTGCACCGACTCCACAAAATCCATACCCAGCTCCACAAAACACCCATCCACCCCAAGAGCTTACAGAAATCCCACCGGAACAGGCTTCCGACCCAACCAAGCCTTCAAGAATGAGAGGCTACAGAAGAAAAAAACTTTCACTCCGCTGGGAGAATCATACACCAGTCTATTCCACAGATTGAGGCAGTTGGGCATGCTGAATCCAATTGAGCCTAAAATGCCAAACCCCCCTTCTAGAAATCTTGATCATTCGGTGAGTTGTGAGTACTGTTCATGGGCCCCGGGACATGATACAGAGAAGTATTGGAAACTAAAAACAGGTGTGCAGGAGCTCATTGATACTCATCGAATCGAGGTTCAGGCCCTAGAGACACCAAATATCAACCAGAATCCATTGCCGGCTCACCATGAGACCCATATGATTGAGTTGATACACAAGGTAGGAGAGCCAAAGAAACCCTCGCAGGCGGTAATGATGATCCGTTTCGGCGAAACCGGTTCAAAAGAAAAGGTAACCAGTGGAAAATCAGGGGACCAGTTGAAAGGGGTGAACAACAAGCCAGCTGTGGTAGTCGAGAAAGGGTCGTCAAGCATTGTTGCAGTAAAACCAGAACAAGCGAAAGTGGTGGTACCGGGAATTGTGAGTACACCTGTTGTGGTCGTGAAGGGTGCTCGCACAGAGCCTTTATCATAAAACCAGCAACTCAGTTGCTAGTGATCAACAGCAAGGCGGTTCCATGGAGTTATGACCAAGTGGTAGTGACGTATAAAGGGAAGGCAATCAGAGAAGAAGTTTGTGAAGCTCAGGGTATGACCCATTCAGGGAGGTGCTTTGCCCCTGAAGAATTGAGAAAAGCCAGAGTTCCCAAAGATAACCCGGTATTGGTAAAGAAAGCCGTAACAGAAGAGGAAGCGGAGGAATTCCTAAGGAAGATGAAAGTACAGGATTACTCTATTGTAGAACAATTGAAGAAAACACCCGCCCAAATCTCATTGCTCTCATTGCTGATCCACTCAGATGAGCACCGCCGGGCGCTAATGAAAATATTGAACGAGGCACATATCCCTGACAAGATCTCGTTGAATCACTTGGAGAAGATAGCAAATAAAATCTTTGAGGTGAACAAAGTTACTTTCTCAGATGATGAGTTGCCTGTGGAGGTCACGGAACATAACAGGGCCCTTTATTTGATAGTGAAATGCGAGGATTCTGTAGTCACCCGAGTTCTGGTTGACAATGGGTCTAGTGCAAACATATGTCCTCTGTCCACGTTGAGCAAGCTGAAGGTCGATGATGATAGAATTCATAAGAATAGCGTCTGTGTGCGAGGGTTCGATGGTGGGGGCAAAGATTCTGTGGGTGACATAATACTGGAATTAACAATAGGACCCGTGGAGTTCACTATGGAATTTCAGGTGATAGATGTGGCGGTCTCTTATAACCTTTTGTTGGGGCGACCCTGGATCCATGCCGCCAAGGCAGTTCCATCTACATTGCATCAAATGGTTAAATTCGAGTGGGACAAACAAGAGATTGTGGTGCACGGGGAAGATAATATGTGCGCTTTGAGTGATGCCATTGTGCCTTTCATAGAAGTTGATGATGACAAAGGGTCGTGGGTTTACCAAGTCTTCGACACAGTGTCCGTGGAAAAGGCCCAGAAGGGAAGGGCATCCCAGTCCCTAAAGTAGCAGCGGCAACTGTCATGGTGGCTTCAGAAATGTTGAAGAATGGGTTCATACCAGGAAAAGGTTTGGGTGCTGCCCTTCAAGGCATTGTGCAGCCGGTTTCTCTTCCTAAAAATCTGGATACTTTTGGATTAGGTTTTAAGCCCACAGCTGCAGACATAAGACGGGCTCGCAAAATGAAGAAGAGGGCATGGGTTCTTCCCAAGCCAATCCCCCGTCTCTCCAGATCATTCGTCAGGCTAAGCATCAGAAAGCAACTGCAGTCAAAAGTTCCCAGGTCATTGATTGGTGTTGATGGAGACTTAGATAAGGGGTTCGAGAGATTATTTGCCGAGGTTAACATGGTTGAGGCTGGGGAGGGGTCGAGCAAAGCAGATGTGCAGTTCGTCGGACCACGTGCAAAAGTCAACAACTGGGAAGCTACTCCTCTTCCTATCCGGAAGGAGTCTTGGTAGTGGGTCTTGATTTTCTATAGTTGTTTGAATTATTCCAGGGCTTGTAATTTAGATATTATGTTCCGTCCAGTTGGATGTTGTTAAAACCCTATTATCTTTATGTTCAATGAAATGCAATTGTCTTTTCTTTCTTCATGCCTAATCTATTTCTGTTCTTCTTCTTCTCTGTACAGTTCTTTTTCTGCTGATATCAATGACATGACATGCATGAGGACTCTTCAGCCCAGTTTTAAAAGCCAATCTAACTCGGAAATAATAATACAAGAAATTGAGTGTGATGATGAGTCGGAATACGATGATGGTGAGGCCTATGAGGAAATTAGTAAAGAATTAAGCCATTTTGAGGAAAAACCCAAGCCTAACCTGAATGACACAGAAGCAGTTAATCCAGGGGACCAAGATAATGTCCGTGAAACTAAAATAAGTGTTCACCTGGAACCACAACTCAGGGAAGAGATTATCAAAGCATTGTTCGAATACAAAGATATTTTCGCATGTTCATATGACGATATGCCAGGTCTAAGCACTGATTTAGTGGTCCACAAATTGCCCACCGACCTAGCATTCCTTTCCGTCAAACAGAAGCTGAGGAAGTTCAAAACGGATATGAGTGTAAAAATCAAAGAGGAGATCACCAAGCAGTTCGATGCAAAGGTTATTCGGGTCACGCGGTATCCTACATGGTTAGCCAATGTTGTGCCTGTGCCAAAGAAGGATAGCAAAACCAGGGTGTGTGTTGATTACCGGGATCTCAACAAAGCAAGCCCAAAAGACAACTTCCCATTACCGAACATCCACATATTGATTGATAATTGTGCCAAACATGAGATTTGTTCTTTTGTGGACTGTTACACAGGTTATCATCAGATTTTAATGGACAAGGAAGATGCAGAAAAGACGGCATTCATCACGTCGTGGGGGACATACTATTATCGGGTCATGCCGTTTGGTCTGAAAAATGCCGGGGCAACCTACATGAGGGTGATGACAACAATCTTCCATGATATGATACACAGGGAAATCGAGGTGTACGTGGATGATGTGATCGTAAAGTCTAGAAAGCAGTCCGACCATGTCAGGGACCTGAGGAAGTTCTTCCAAAGGCTTCGCAGGTACAATCTCAAGCTTAATCCTGCAAAGTGCGCCTTCGGGGTGCCGTCTGGGAAATTGTTGGGATTCATAGTCAGCCGCCGGGGTATCGAACTGGACCCATCCAAAATCAAGTCTATCCAGGAATTGCCACCTACAAGGAACAAAACTGAGGTGATGAGTCTGTTGGGAAGATTGAATTATATCAGCAGGTTCATTGCCCAGCTCACGACCACTTGTGAGTCAATCTTCAAACTGTTAAAGAAAGACGCTGCAGTTAGGTGGACGGATGAATGTCAAAAGGCTTTTGACAAGATAAAGGGGTATTTGTCGAACCCACCCGTGTTGGTCCCGCCAGAACCAGGGCGACCTCTGATTCTATATTTGACGGTGTTGGACAATTCGTTCGGCTGTGTACTGGGGCAGCATGATATCATTGGCAGAAAGGAGCAGGCTATCTATTACCTAAGCAAGAAATTCACATCTTACGAGGTTAAGTACACTCAGCTGGAGAGGACGTGCTGTGCCTTAACTTGGGTAGCGCAGAAGTTGAAACATTACTTGTCATCTTATACTACCTACCTCATCTCTCGGTTGGACCCGTTGAAGTATATCTTTTAGAAGCCCATGCCCACAGAGAGGCTCGCAAAATGGCAGATCTTGCTCACGGAGTTCGACATTGTCTATGTGACCCAGACTGCAATGAAGGCACAAGCATTGGCTGACCATTTGGGCGAGAATCCAGTAGATGAAGAATATGAACCTTTGAATACATACTTCCCTGATGAAGAGGTAATGCATGTTGATGAGTTGGAACAAGTCGAGAAGCCAGGATGGAAACTGTTCTTTGATGGGGCTGCCAACACAAAAGGCGTCGGGATCGGAGCGGTACTTATTTCTGAGACAGGGCAACACTACCCTGTTACAGCTCAACTTCATTTCTATTGCACCAATAACATGGCTGAATACGAGGCATGTATCTTGACTTTGAGGTTGGCTATAGACATGGGTGTCCAGGAAATCTTGGTCATGGGTGACTCAGATCTTCTGGTGCACCAGATTCAGGGGGAATGGGAGACACGAGATTTGAAGCTCATACCGTACCGGCAATGTTTGCACGATCTTTGCCAACGGTTTCAATCAATAGATTTCAGGCATATTCCAAGGATTCATAATGAAGTTGGTGACGCTTTGGCTACTTTGGCGTCAATGTTGCATCATCTAGATAAGGCTTATGTGGACCCTTTGCAGATTCAGGTCCGAGATCAGCATGCCTATTGTAACATGGTGGAAGAAGAACTTGATGGTGAGCCGTGGTTCCATGTCATCAGAGAATACCTCAGGATGGGAGTATATCCAATACAAGCCACAGGGATCAAAAGAGAGCGATTCGACGCTTGGCAAGCGGATTTTTCTTCAGTGGAGGAGTGTTGTACAAAAGAACTCCAGATCTTGGTCTATTAAGATACATAGATGCTAAACAGGCTACAGTTATCATGACCGAGGTACATGCGGGAGTTTGTGGGCCGCATATGAGTGGATATGTATTGGCAAAGAAGATTTTTCGAGCAGGTTATTATTGGCTTACCATGGAACGAGATTGCATCAGTTTCGTGAGCAAGTGTCATCAATATCAGGTACATGGAGATTTGATTCATTCTCCACCATCTGAATTACATACAATGTCGGCACCATGGCCATTTGTTGCTTGGGGAATCGGGCCAAACGAGCCAGTAGCGTCAAATGGACACAGGTTTATTCTGGTAGCCATTGATTATTTCACTAAGTGGGTTGAAGCGAAAACTTTCAAGTCGGTAACCAAGAAGGCAGTGGTTGACTTTGTGCCTTCGAATATCATGTGTCGGTTTGGGATCCTGAAGGTAATCATCACGGACAATGGTGCTAATCTCAACAGTCATCTGATGGCGGAGACATGTCAACAGTTTAAGATTACGCACCGCAATTCCACCCCATATCGCCCTAAGGCAAATGGAGCAGTCGAGGCAGCTAACAAGAACATCAAGAAAATACTTCGGAAAATGGTGGAAGGGTCCAGGCAATGGCATGAGAAGTTACCTTTCGCATTGTTGGGCTATCGCACTACTGTCCGTACTTCAGTAGGGGCGACTCCTTATTCACTGGTGTATGGTACTGAGGCAGTAATACCCGCAGAGATTGAAATCCCGTCCCTTCGGATTATCGCCGAAGCAGAAATTGATGATGTTGAATGGGTCAAAGCCCGCTTGGAGCAACTACGTTTGATTGATGAGAAGAGATTGACAGCAGTATGTCATGGACAGTTGTACCAACAGAGAATGGCGATGGCATACAACAAGAAGGTGCGTCCGTGGAAGTTTGAAGTGGGGCAGTTGGTGTTGAGATGTATCTTACCTCATCAGGCCGAAGCAAAAGGAAAGTTCGCCCCAAACTGGGAGGGACCATTTGTTGTAAAGAGAGTGTTGTCCAATGGTGCATTATATTTGACGGATGTGGAAGGAAAATGTGTAGAAATGGCTATCAACTCTGATGCAGTCAAGAGATACTATGTATGATCTTCTTTGTTTAATTGTATTTGTTTGTACTTGGAATGTTTTGAAGATTGGAATGACGAAGGCATTTTGTTCTGCTATCCAAACACTTTATCCTTTGTTACCCCCTTTGAGCCTCATTCATTTTCTTTCATACCCCTCTTTCGGAATCGGTGGCAAAGATCAGAAACACAAGCGTGAAAGATAAGTCAAGGAAAAAGAGAAAAGAGAAGAAAAAGAAAAAGAAAAGAAAAAAAGAAAAAGAAAAGAAAAAAAGAAAAAGAAAAAAAACCACAGAAAAAGAAAAGAAATGAAAAGAAAAGAAAAGAAGAGGAAGAGGAAGAAAAGAGAAAGGAAAAATCACAACAACAAAGTAATTTCTATGACCTGAACTACGTTTGACTTGATCCCGAAAGGGTATGTAGGCAGCCTCCCTCTCAGGTTCAGTCACACCGAAATAAAAGTCCAAAAGTCCCCAAGGAGGAAACTGGGGCAGAAGTTGTGGTTGTGCAAGAAATTTGATTTCGAAAGTTGTAGTTTTGAACCCACGTCGAATTGTTTTTGAGCCTTTGATACCTTTTCTTTCTAACCCCGTCCAAAAGCCTGCATTACGGTCCAAAGAAAGACCTTCTGATCAGTCTTCAGGGAATGCCAAGTCGAGCAAGAAGAGGTGATTTATGTTAGGGACAACATTCTGGTCCAAGCAGAAAAATGATGAAAATGAGAGAGTCTTATTGGTGAAAACCCTCACGGGCACCGTAAGGCGAAGTGAGTTGAGAGAAATAAATGAGAGAGTCTTATTGGTGAAAACCTTCATGGGCACCGTAAGGCGACGGGAGCTGAGAGAAATAAAATGAGAGAGTCTTATCGGTGAAAAACCTCACGGGACTTAGGCGAAGGAGTCTGTTGATGGAAAACTGTTTCAAGGCGCCGCAAGACGAACAAGGTCAAGGTTTGGGTAAAGTAATCAGGGCATGGAAATTATAGGGCAACGAAGTACGGCAATTGAAAGTTTATTGGTCGAAAGATTGGCTGATTAGTCCAAAAGGCATGTCATGATCATCGGTACCAGCTGTTCCAGTCAGATAAGTTCCTTTCTTTCTCCTTTAAACAGTCATCCGGTTTTGGATTCTTCTTATCCTTAACTTACAAATCATTGCATTTCATTTTCTTTTGGGGTTTTATCTGTCTAAGATGTTTTAATGTCAGTCTAGTTCAAAGCAAGAGGAAAAGGATTTCAAGGTTCACTACCAACTTCCAAAATTGTAAGGCACAACGTAGTCGGAGCATGTCAAAAGACAATGTGATGTAAGGTGGGATACAAGGAATCGCCAGAAGTTTCATCGGTGGAATGATTTGTGATGCCATGGGAAATGTAGAGGT